AAAAAAAAATATTATCAATAAATTGTTAGGATTAAAAAAAATTCAATTTTATATTCGTTCAACTATTGTTCTTCTTAATCAAATTAATTTACCATCGAATGAAGATATTCAATGCACATTCGAAGATTTTCATGATAATCATATTATATCTTATGTCGAGTATTTTTCAGATAGTCAACGAGGACGATGTCATATTTATTCACATCCTTATACACTGTACGAATATTATAAAATAACAAATAATTTTCCAGGTGGATTATTTAAATGTGTGTCTAAAATATCATTATATGATGAACGGCCATTTCAACATGAATTTTTTCTTCGAATTGCTCAATCATTTCCATTTGTGAAAAAAATAAGTTTAGAAAATATAAAACCGCAAAATAATAAAAAATCTAAAAATTCAGAAGATGACAATCAAATTTTACCAATTATTGAATATCCTCATCTTACTACACTTGATCTTACTGAAGCTCATTTAGATTATATCGAATTATTTCTACTTGATACCACAACACGTTTATCAAATAATGTGTATCTTGTTGTCGTTTACCAAGCGCTAAGAAGAGTAACAGAAAAATTTACAAGAAATGCAACACGAATCAACGGCGAAAAATTACGTCGTTTAAGTTTACTTGGGAAATATAGAATTCCTAAATATGTAAAAGAATATTTTCCTCATACAGAAATATTAAATTATTAATTGTTATCAATGATTATTTAAATAAAATGTGCATTCAAAGCTAAATCAATTTGTACAGAATTAAAATATTATGAAATAAACAGACTGAAGGAGGATAAGAAATATATCAAAGAAATAAATATTGTTAACAGACAGAATGAATATCTGAATGGAAAAAGGTAATATAGTTTTCATATATCAAAGCTATTTTAAATGTATATGAGGGTAAATCGATGTGTTATATTAAGTATAGTCATGGAGCCGAGTGCCTAGCCAACATTTGAGACTTTTTTAAAAATAGGGCTTTCACGAAATATGTATTATACGAAAACAAGGGAAGTGATCATTTTGTCACATATCTGAGGATATTGCTCAACTCATCATTAGTTCACACCTTTCGACTCATTGTTTCACAATAAGTACATACCCTTCGTATATGTTCATAGTAAAGATTTCAAGCCGAAGAGAATCACGAGGGAGTTTTGAATATCTTAAGAACGGATCAATATTTCTTCGATTGGTTTGCAAAGCAAAATACTTAAAAAATCTTCGTTTTTTCTTCTACAGCATGTCGTAATGAAATCAAGACCGAAATACTTCATCTGAGAGGCTTCTATCGACTTTAGTTGTGATTTATGTAGAGCGTTTGATAAGGATAAATGTCGATTTCATACCTAAATATCGTTATATTTTGGAGAATTGTGGCATAATGAATATTAAACAAAAAAATTTTCTCTAGAAAAACCTGTAGTGGATATCTCAAATCCATTCGAATAGTAGAAACAAATGTCGATAGAACCTTGTATGATACACGAATCAAAAGCATGGGATCTCCTGTTTTTATGATAGATATTGGGCGTACTGTTCTGGGTGTGGGTGTGGTCGATGTGTGTGTTCATTTTTCATCAATTAATACCCACACCCTTTTGGCCATTTTTTAGCTATTCTCGGCAAAAGAAAGTCAGTGTAAAGTTACCGTAATGGACAAGTCTTTGTCTTAGTCGAACTTTATCATATGAAGTAATAAAATAAAAACTGTCTTATGGTGTAAAAACTTATGAGGGTGTGGGTGTGGATGAAAAGAAGACGCAAATAACACTAACACTCACACCAACACTCCTCAAGACTAGATCGAAAACTGAACACAGTCAAAACATCAGTTTCGACTGTGTAAAACTAATTCGAAATTCGTTAAAAAGCTAAGAAAAAAAAAATCGAAAATAACAAAATGAATAAATTATAGAAACGATATTTTGATTAACCTTATTTTTCGATGAAAATGAATGTTGTCCATCAGCCGTGTGACACATTTATATCGACTCAGTTTTTTTTTGATGATTCCAAATATATGCTCCATTTTGATAGAAAGCCAGATTATTCTGATCAAAACTAATAAAATATTAGTCAAAAATTGCAACTTTTCACTCTCACGATAATTATGCGTTTAACGAAAGCGTCTTACTTACAAATTAAGCTCAACATAATCGCATCATTTTGTAGAACTTTGAGAAAAGCCTCTCAAACAATATATGATTTCAAGTGCTTCTCTCCTTTTCCATGTAAAAAGAAAAGAAATTTTTTTCATGACTCTTCTCATACTATATATACGAGGAAACAACATCATTAGAAGAAAAAAAAACAAAAGAATCATATTTTTTCATACTAACATGAGATATTCAATAGAGGAAGCGAAGCACTTCCACTTGATATATAACTTTTTGAAAAAGAGTTAAATACTGATAAAGGACAGAGAATATCGAGTTCTGAGTGAACCGTAGGCAGCCAGAATGTGGTGTAACTATCTCAATCGAACGAGAACTGACTTCTGAC